GTTTTCAGTTTGTCCGTCCATCTTGTGAACGTGTGAATTCAACAAACATTCAGTTTGACTCACGGAAGAACTGCTTAGAATTTGCTGGATGAAGGTCAAGGGTCAACGTGACCTTACCAAAAAACTTTTTGGAGAACTCTCACATGAGTGTGTGTGTGTGTGTGTGTGTGTGTGTGTGTGTTTAACCTCCACGGTGCGGCGTATTTCCTCTATCTGAGAGATCACTGTCTGCATGTTGTCGTTACTGGCGACCAGGTTTGCGATGCCGTCGCGCAGCTCCGCCTGAAAACACAACAAAACATTTCCGGCGTTTATTCCAGAACAAACTCTGAAAGTCTCGATCGTCTGTATGCGGATCCACACGTCGGTGAAAAGTTTCCAGACTCAACTTAAAAGAGGAAATGCACTCTGGGTACTTTCTAATGAGCACGTCTGCCACCACCCGAAGCACCATGAGTCACCGGCCTGCATCGGTTTTAAAGCTTCACACGACCTCGTCTTCATCACTTCATTGTAAAGTGTCATCAGAGAAAAACAAACACGCCGTTCTTCTGTGTTTGAGCCAAAAATCAAACCACAGGCTTTCGTTTTAGAAATTATCTGTTTCATTGAGATGATCAACAACTTTCCTCGGCCTCATCTGAATTTCAGATGAGTGATTCAGAGTCAGAGTGAGAGATGGAGACGTCCGGCCTGAAATGTCAACAAAGCCAAATGCTCGATACGACACCGGACGCTGCCGCCGCCGCCGCCGCCATCTGCATAACAACACTGCTGCACTTTGTCTTTGTGTGACTTTGTGAGTCCACACGATGAGCAAATAGAGTTTTGCTGAAATTAAAACTTCTCTTCTGCAGATGTTGTGTTTACGTTTGATCCATAAGCAATATTCAGTTTCATAATTCTATGTATTTGTTGGTATTTAAGGACGAAACATTTGATTTTGCATTAACACAATGTTAAGCGTCACTGTAACTGACCTTTAAATGGCTGCAGGACCAGATGTGTGCAGATGTGTCCTGTGCTTACACGTAAACTATCCAAGCAGGAGAGGAAACAGAAATAGACGAATAGAGGATTTTAAAGGAAGAAAGAGATTTGGTTCATAAAGGCCATCGTCTGCTATAAGGAGTCACCACCAACATGCACACGCACATTTTGGAGTTCGGACCGTTGTATAAAATTCTGTCATCGTCCTTTGACCTTTAAACAAGCTCCCGCTTCAGTCGTGAGGTTGTTCGACTCCTTGGGAACCTGCCAGCTCACCTCCGCCGACCGTGACTCTGCCTGAATCCTTTGGTTTCGGTCGGTGTCTTTGTCTGACGGTGAAGTGAGGGGGAGGGGGAGGGGTGTCATGTGAGGTGAACCAGAGGAAACTGTGTGAGGTCATAGGTCACGAGACAGTTCGGGGTCACAACAGGTCAAATCATCTCACTCTCACGGAGCTTAATGAAATTTCAACCTTCAGTGACTCTGACTTTGATTTACTCCACAGAAATTAGAATAAAACTAAAAGTATCATGAGGGATTCTAACAGCTGAAGTTGAATATTTTATATTTGGTTCAAGTTTTTAATGTCACGATGACCTGCAGAGAGTCAGAATCACCTTCTGAGTCGTGTAGACGCTGCTGAGCGGAGCCACGTCACAGTCTTTGTGTCGTCCGAACACTTTGCACATGGAGCAGGTCGGCGTCTGACACGAGAGACAGTAGATGTTGATCCTCTCCTCTTCGTGTTCGTCACACATCAGCTGCTGCTGCTGCTGCTCTGGCTTCGTGTTTACAGGCCTGGAGGAGAGAAAACACTTTTAAAGGTGAATTTACAGGATTGTTTTTATTGAACCTTCTCCGGACGCTGACCTGGAGCAGGTTTTAGGAGAGGTTTCGGGTTTGTTGGTCGTTTGTTGTGACTCTAGTTGAGGGTTAAGGGCAGAAGATGTCACACCTTGTTAAAGTCCTATGAGACAAATTGTGATTTTTGAATTTAGGCTATACAAATCAAATTTGATTGATTGATACCATAGTATACTGTAGTATTGTATAGCACAGCATGATATAGTGTAGTGTAGTAAAGCATAGTATGGTATAGTATTGTATATCATATAGCATAGTACATTATATTATAGCATGGTATATTGTAGTATAGTACAGCCTAGCATAAGTACAGTATACCTCAGAATGACATTAATTCATGTGTTTTCTCAGATGTGTCATTTTGAACATGTAACATACGAGTTCCTTTCACTGCCAAACATGTTATAATCACATAAGCAGAAATAAGCTGCTCCTCAACGCCGCCCTGACAGACCTCAGTCCGAAGTCACGCTGGCACATGCACACACGTATGTGCTTGGTACCGGGTCGGCATGTGTAGCATCCTGAAAAAGCAAAAAGGCTGCTCAGAGGAATCCAGAGTTTATGCAACATCACGGCCCTTTGTCCTCTGACGTACATGTCCGCGACACAAACGATGATTAAGTCATGAGAAATGTTTCCACCCGTGAAAAAATTATGAGAAACTACAAGTTGCAGAACATTTGTGAACGTCGCTGTGAACAATCGCGTCTATTTTAGCCCACACAGATAATGAGGAGACCCCTGCCCTTCTGTCTCTAATGGATGCCAACGTCTCTCTCTCTCTCTACCAGTGACTCATTTAGCTTCTATTTCCGTGTGAACGTGACAGAGCGGAGTCGTAGTAAATGTGCACACTTATAAAACGGAGGTAGATGCACTGAAGAGGTTGTTACGTGGAACATGTTGTTATTATATTATTTATGCAAACTCATCTGAAGCTTCCGATCGACCTCTCGTCTCTTCTCTCGTTTAAAACTACAGCTCACATGCATACGCTCGCACTAATGTGTTGTTCCACGTGTTTGAATCTATGATTCCTGTGATTGTTTCAATTAAGTTCTTTGTTGTGTTTATTTATTAATACTTTGTTGTGTAGTGTTTATTTGCTGATTATGAATTTCACCTGAATTTCGATGACACGGCCTCATTAGATAAAGATTAAATTAAAACAACATACATCTCTAAGTTGTACCGGACATTAGACAACAGAGTGTATCAACAAAGATATAATTATGATAATAACTTTATTTGTACAGCACTTATCTAAACGAGGTTTCAAAGTGCTTCACACAGACGTTATCATCAGTCATCATTTACTAGGAGACACTGGCTCCTGTTCATTTAATTGTCTCCTGTGAAGAAAGTGAGTAAAGTAAGTTTGTTTCCCTGCTGATGAAGAATTGAATGAATGAAGAATGAAGCACTGCCCCCTGGTGGTTGTCACTCAATGTTACAATTACAATCCAGTGCTATTAAGAGTTTTCAAAACCTGCAGCCTGATAAAAACCTTATCCCTAAATTGAACCGTGACCAATTCATACCCAACCCTAACCTTAAACTAACCACAGCTCAGAAAAGACGTTTTACCACATTAGGACTGAGCTTTGGTCCCCGTGAGGTCCACTGGTCCCCGTGAGGTCCACTGGTCCTGACGTGGTCAGTGTTTAAAGATGTAACAAGAGGTTTAACGAGTGCAAACACACACCTGGAGGACTCCTGCTGCCTGTAGATGTCTATGATGTTCTCCACCAGCAGGTTCCTCTGCAGACCGAACACTCCGTGCCGGTCCAGCACCACCTCGTGGCGACATGACGGACAGCGGAAACGGCCGCCGCTGGCAGCGATGCTAGAGGAGCCGCGGGTCTGCCACAGAGGGTTAGCTGCCTGAGAACAGAGGACGAGTATGAGGAACACAGGGAGTGAGTCGTGGCCTCGAGCACAGGAGGCGACCTCATCAGATGAGAAGTTTTAGGTGGAGTGCACCTTTAAATTTATGAAAAACAAGGATGTCAAAATCTGCTGGAGAACGCTGGAGCTCACCTGGAACATGTCGTTGGCACACTTGCGGCAGAGGTTGTGCTGGCAGGGCAGGATGACCACAGGTTTGGAGAACATCTCCAGGCAGACGGGGCAGATCAGCTGCTTCTCCAGGTTCTCCATGGTGGCTCCGCTGCCGGCACCGGGCCCCGAGCTGCCTGCTGGGGGGGGCCTGAAGCCGAGGGCAAAGTTCATCGCCTCCGAGGGCAGAGAGTGAAGTGTCAGAGGAGACAGGAGAGGATAACGAGTGGAGGCTTCCAGAAACACGAGGTGGAGGATATTCCAGCTCTGTCTTCTAGAGTTCAGGCCTCATGCAGCTCAGTGTTCATCAGTGTTCATCAGTCTTCACGTCTCCTGCTATTTTCCTCTTAAAAGGTTGATTCAATTCCACTTTAAGTCGTATTTTCTCAGTATTTTTTGGAATTAGCTGTCGCTCCGTCTCTTCCCCCAGCTGCCCCTCCGTTCACCCCTCTGCCAACCCCGTTGTAAAGACCCTCCCATGCCTTCTGTCTCTGTCCCACAGCCGCTGCTCTGTTGACTGTTGTTATTTTTAGCTGCTGGGTTTGTTCAGGCTTGAGTTACTGTCTAAACTGGATTCCACCGCCGCACCATGGCACAGCGTGGGTGTGGCAGAGGATCATGACAGTGGTCAGAGAGCAGGGATCAGATTATCATGTTCTGTGAGACATCAGAGTGGGTCCTGCTCACAGAACACACCCTCTGACGCTCATGATCCCATTTCTCAGAAAGTCCCACCGGAACACAACGGGACATTTATTTTGCAATCAAATTACGTAATCTTTAAGCCACAGTCAGTATCTTGTCAAAACTAGTATAAGGTTCTCGTATTTGAAGCATTAAATATCCCAGATCTCTGGGATCCTCGGACCAGCTGCTCCTGACCGTCCCTCAGTCCAGGACGAGGGGGAAAGATGATTGTGTTTGCTGTCCAACATTTTAATCAAGTCAACTTTATTTATATAGCACATTGAAAAACAACTGCTGATGACCAATGTGCTGTACAATGAGTTAATTTTAATGCAATTAGTTCATTATTAATCATTACATTTTAATAATTGTTTTGAAGAAGTCACGATGTGAAATACAAGAAAATACTAAAACAACATAGACAAGCAATCAAATGAAATTAAAAAAAAAATATTCAGATGTGGATAAAAACAACATAAGGACACTCAAATGTTTACCAGTTACAATTAAATGTTCTCCTTCTGTATATTTAAGGTTAAATTGAAGATTTCACATGTTTTTTTCTTTTGTTTATTTAATTTGCTCTGTTTGATTCTTGTATTTCTCTTTGTGTGTTTTATTGTACAGCTCTTTGGTCACCTCTGGTTGTTTTAAAATGTGCTTTATAAAAAAAACTAATAATAAAAAAAAAAACGTGTCTTGTCTATTTATCTTTGACTCATCAGGAAATAACAATATTCTCAGAGCTAAACCAAAAGGTATAGTCCTCAACTATGTTGTTCAACTTTAGAAACATGTGTTCACTAAACTTTAGAAACATGTTCATTAAACTTTAGAAACATGTGCTCACCTTGTTTAACTTTAGAAACATGTTCACTAAACTTTAGAAACATGTGCTCACTAAACTTTAGAAACATGTGTTCATTAAACTTTAGAAACATGTGTTCACCTTGTTTAACTTTAGAAACATGTGTTCACTAAACTTTAGAAACATGT